GCTTCTGATGGCTTGTTACTCACTTTGGAAAATCGTATTCCTCGAAAATATCCCAAATCTACTCTCACTTAGAGAAATTGGTTTAAAGTCAAACAAATTCTCCCCTGACACTTTCCTCGTAAAGAGATTGTTGACAGTATGTGAAATGTAAAGAGAATTTTATTTGATTCTTATTAACTTGATCTTGTAAGTGATTTTATGAACCGTTTGATTGGACACCGAACAAAGTGAAGAGGGCTTGTACCAATGTATGTTTGACTTCAGATTCCCCATGTCTCTCTTTGCCCTGCTTGGAATAAAATTACACTTTGTGTCACACTGGGCATGTACTGATTATATTGATATAAATAGAGTTCCTTATAAAGCTATATCGGATCACTTTCATAAAATATCCCAATATGCCCATGGTAAATCAGTTTTTGTAGCTGACACACATGTATAATAATTAGAAACCCATCTGAATATGTATTTTATTAAGGTCTGTTTAATTTAATTAGGTCTCTGAATGAGCTGGCTTGTTTTTTCCCCCCTATTAATCAATGCTATGGGATTTTTACGTCAGTTTTGCTAGTACACTCAAGCTGCTATTTGCATATGATAAGGGTCAAGAAAATCAGTAACTGGCTGGAATTGTATTGAATTGTATCAATGTGTTGTCATGATTTCTGTTGTTCTTCACAAAGTGGCCCAGTGATGGACGATTTATTTGTATTGGCCAGATTAAAACAAATTCTACACAAGTAACTTTGGTCTCTTTGAGAAAGTTGCGCATCAGTAAGTGATCTCTGCTGAATTCCCGGTGTAATTCATTTTAAATCGCTTCACAGAAATAGATTTTTTTTTTCCTTTTGTATTGTGTTGTTTGTTACAGGATATACTCGTGCAAAGTGGGAAGGGGTTACTTTTTTTGTATAGAGAGAGTAGAAGCCATGTATGTTTTTGATCCCCACCCTTCAAGTCAAAGCATATATGTACAAAACAAATGTATGTAGGAATACAATGTAAATATTCTCACTGAGCAATGCAGGCCTTTGTTGTATTTTAAGGAACACTGCAATGACAATTAAAGAAAGATCATGCTGTTTCAAACCTGTATAACTTTCCTCCATTGAACACAAAAGCAGATGACCGCCTCAGTCATCATTCACTTTGACAGCATGGAAAGAAGTAATAAAAGTGAATGGTGATGGATGCTTTCATTGTCTAACGTCTCATTTTGTGTTCCATGGAAGAAAGTTATAACATAAAGGTGAGTAAATGATGCCAAAGTTGTCATTTGAAGGTAAATGGTTTTAAATGCCAAATGTTTCCTTTATTAGTAATATAAGTCCATAATATGTAATGAATATTGAGGACACTAACAAATGTTTCATTCAATAGATAAAATAAGTTTATGTGTGTGGGTGTGTGTATATATATATATATGTATGTGTGTGTGTGTGTGTATGGAATAGAGAACAAGCTTTTATTGCTTTATATTTTTTATTAATATATTTAGAAATATTTAATTTAAATTGTATTGTATTTTTATTGTCTCATGCTCTCCAAGGCTGCATTCTTTAATAAAAATCCAGTAAAGAGTATAATGTGGGAAAAAAACATTACAATTTAAAATAACTTGTCTTCTATTTGAATATATTTTAAAATGTAATTTATACCTGTGATGGCAAAGCTAAATTTTCAGCAGCATGACTCGAGTTTTCAGTGTCAAATGTCACTTTTTTTTTTTCCTTTTTTTTTTTTTATCAATGTGCTGCTTAATATTTTTTTTGGAAGCCATACATTCATTTCAGGATTCTTTGACAAATAGAAAGGAAAACAAACAGATGTTCCTAAAGAGGGACATAACTGTCCAAAATATATATTAAATCATATAGAACTTGTGTTCTGCAGCAGGACAATGATCCAAAACACACCAGCAAGTCCACCTCTGAATGGCTGAAGAAAAACAAAATGAAGACTTTGGAGTGGCCTAGTCAAAGTCCTGACCTGAATCCTATTGAGATGCTGTGGCATGACCTTAAAAAGGCGGTTCATGCTCGAAAACCCTCCAATGTGGCTGAATTACAACAATTCTGCATAGATGAGTGGACCAAAAGCGCTTCCTCCACAGCGCTGTAACAGACTCATTGCAAGTTTTGCAAACGCTTGATTGCAGTTGTTGCTGCTAAGGGTGACCCAACCAGTTATTAGGTTTAGGGGGCAAACACTTCTTCACACAGGGCCATGTAGTTTTGGATTTTGTTTTCCCTTAATAATAAAAACCTTCATTTAAAAACTGCATCTTGTGTTATCTTTTACTAATATTTAAATTTGTTTGATCTGAAACATTAAAGTGACAAACATGCAAAAAAAAATAAGAAACACTTTTTCACACCACTATATATTATCTTTCTCTGTCTGTCTGGCAACATATCGCTTCTAGAAAATCATTTTGATGTTAAAATTGTTTCGATTTTTACATTTTGAAAACGGTTGTGCTGTTATGATGTGTGTGTGTGGTTTATATAGCCAATGTAATTAAATGGGAAAACTATTTTAAATTAGTTATTTTAAATTTCACTTAATTTAGTTTAATTTGTTCTATCTCTTTTTCTCTATATATGCACACTCTAAATGTAAATATGCATGAAACAATATAGTTCCAAAGCAAGTTTCCTGATCCTTCATTAGGCTTGTTTTCCTAAAGACACCACTAGTTGGCAGTGTAGTCATTTTTCTATTTCAGTATGTTCTTCACTGTATGTAGATATATATATATATATAGTTTAGCACGTCTTGAAATAGTAGGCCTACAGAATAAACCTACTGTTGATCTTTTTGTGCAGTGGTATTTATATGGCAGTTCCTCCCCTGTTTCATTGTTAGTAAATGCTAAGTTCTATAAATACCTCTGCACAAAACGGAAGATGTAGATTCATATAAAATAAAATGTGCAATTGTGTAATTGCACACATGTAAACGGTATTCCTTTGTTTTTCTTTAGCTGAATTGCCTCCTGATCACTGTCTTCAGCTGTTCCTAGATTACTACACACAGGCAGAGCACTCCCTTCCTGCACTCATTCACATAAGGTCTATTTTCAGATCAGAAATAAGCTCTAAAAATAACTCCCTGAGTAAGTGTGACATAACTCAAAGAATGTGTTCATATCGCGTGTCCCCTTACAGGAGAGAGTGGGATCAGTTCCTGGTTTCTGCTGAACACACTGATGGTACCTTGGTTCATCTGGGGAAAACATGTTTGGCTGGGACAGTGTGTGACCAGATTTAATTATACAAGTTTGGGTGAATCTCGCAGAAACATTTCACCCCAAAACCAAAGAAATTATACTTTTTATAAAAAAATTTTATATAGGGTCATTTCAATTTTTTAAATTGTGACATTATTTTTATGATTGTTAAGTGCATCTTACACAAATTCTTATTACCATCATTTAAAAAAAATGTAATTGTCATTTTTCCCAGTGGTGGTTGTTATTAGATTCTTATTGTTGCAATACTGACAATAATACTGAAATTAGTATACTAATACTAAAATGAGAAAAATATTTAGTTATTTATTAATTTTTTTTAATTGATATCTTCTCAAAATCAATAAAGCAAATACTACTAAGATGTATAAATGTTAAAATGTTTCTATATATATATATATGGCTGGTCTCAGACGATCTTGGAGGTGAAGATTGGATGTGGAGGTCCTGGGCTGGTGTGGTTACACGTGGTCTGCGGTTGTGAGGCTGGTTGGATGTACTGCCAAATTCTATGAAACACCTTTGGAGACGGCTTATGGTAGAGAAATGAACATTCAATTCACGGGCAACAGCTCTGGTGGACATTCCTGCAGTCAGCATGCCAATTGCACGCTCCCTCAAAATTTGCGTCATCTGTGGCATTGTGCTGTGTGATAAAACTGCACATTTTAGAGTGGCTTTTATTGTGGCCAGCCTAAGGCACACCTGTGCAATAATCATGCTGTCTAATCAGCATCTTGATATGCCACACCCGTGAGGTGGATGGATTATCTCGGCAAAGGAGAAGTGCTCACTAACACAGATTTAGACAGATTTGTGAACAATATTTGAGAGAAATAGGCCTTTTGTGTACATAGAAAAAGTCTTAGTCTGAGTTCAGCTCATGACAAATGGGGGCAAAAACAAGTGTTTTGTTTATAATTTTGTTCAGTGTATATACACACACACACATACAGACACAATATATATATATGATTTATATTTTAAATAAATGCTCTTCTTTTTAACTTTTTATTCATCAAAGAATCCTGAAAAAAGTATCACAGGTTCCAAAAAAATATTAAGCAGCACAACAGTTTCCAGCACTGATAATAAATCAGCATATTAGAATGATTTCTGAAGGATCATGTGACACTGAAGACTGCAGTAATTATGCTGAAATTTTAGCTTTGTTCACAGGAATAAATGAGATTTTAATGTATATTAAAATAGAAAAACGTTATTTTACATCATAATAATATTTCACAATATTAAATTTTTTCCTGTTTTTTTGATCAAATAAATGCAGCCTTGATGAGCATAAGAAACTCTTGTAAAAAACATTAAAAATAGTTCTGATCCCAAACCTTTCACCGGTAGTGTGTGTGTGTGTGTGTGTGTGTGTGTATGTATATATATATATATATATATATATATATAAACAAACACCTATACATACTGTTGTTGTTGTTCTTTGCCTTATGGTAATGAGCATAGGGCTTCTTCCTAAACTTCATACAGATAATGCTATGATGTAAAGAATAGGCTTAGGTTTGGGGTGAAATATGAGTTGTAGAGGTCATTGACAGAGATGCACCCATTTATTTGAAGGAAGCTCAGTCTATTAGTAGTCCTTCAAAACACATCACATGTTGTTCTGTGAAAACGTCAGAAGACTGATTACATAACATTGTTTTCCTGTGGACCACTTAAGACAATCAGGATGATTGTGTTGTTTACAAATAATAACACATCTAGACATGTACAGATGCATGATGTTTGTGTAATATTCGACATGACAAAGTAATTCTTTGCTTGTCAAAGAAAATAAATGTGAAGGCTCTCTAAATGTGGATGCTGTAGGTGTGAGTAAACATCCGATGTCAGTGTGTGTTGTGTCAGTGGATTAGTGGAGCAGAGGAATCAACACTCGGCTCTGAGAAGAGTGACGCTAACACTGTCCACATCACACTGAGACAGCCACTCGCAGGAGACCCAGGACCAGGAGGTGAGGAAACATTCATCACAACTCACCGCTAACTTCTAGTTCGGAGTAGAGTATGTGTGAAGTGGCTAATGCTCTTTAAACTAATTATTTAAATGTAAGGGTTTTTTGTTTGATAAACTTGTTTGTTTAAAAATACATTTAATTATAGTAATTTGGAGTTCTTTTTAATAATGTTCAATGCATGTGTTGTGTTAAGTCATTATTTTCATAGTTTAAATGAAGGCTGTTTGATTTGAGTGTATGTAATATAAATGTAATGTAGAATTTTATATATGTATAAATGTTTTATAGTATTTAAATATAATATAGAAATATGCAACATTTCAAATATAATAAAACTTCAGGCGGATATTACATGAAACATTAAAGGTGTGCAACATTTTTTTACAGTAAATACAGTATGTGATTTCTGGATTGCAGTATGTTTTTAAAAATCCCAAATTTAAAAATAATAGATTTCTACGATTCGCTAATAAATAAATAATTATTATTGAAATATTTTTTTTGTCAATTCATTATTTTTATCCATTTATTTTTCTGTTATGTGAAATTAAGCAAACTATGTTGGTAACGCTTTACAGTATGGTCCGGTTAGTTCATATTAATTATTTATCTAACATCAACTTACAATAAGCAATACATTTATTACAGTATTTATTCATCTTAATGTTAATTAATAACAAAAAAATATGACTGTTCATTGTTAGTTCGTGTTAACTCAGGTCCATTAAATAACAATAACTCATACAACTTCTGATTTTATTAATCTATTAATAAATGCTCAAATTAACATTAATTTAGCTTAATACATTTTTTTTTCATTGTATAGTTCATGTTAACTGATGTAGTTAACTAATGGAAGATATCTTATTAGTGTAGATATACACGTGTTTATTTCAGTAGGTTTTTGACAAAGTTTTCTCTGTAGCATCAAAGTAAATTCTACACTTTTGTTCAGTGAGGCACTGATATAGATCACTCACTTGCAGTATCTTCTGCCTGTGGTTTAGGCAGAATACTGCAACTCATTGTCCTTTCTTGCACAAGAAGGAAAACAACTTAAGAGATACCGAGCATCTGGCTGTTAAGACTCGGCTCAGATTGAAAATCTAAAACCATCTGGTATAAAAGGTGCGGAGCAGCATATTAGGAGCAGATCTGAGCATCTGTCCAAAGTGAAGAGCGTCAGCAGGACGTCTGGTGCAGGACACTGACTTCCCATTAACACTGGGCCAGGTTTTCTGAAGATAACTACTTTAGGACAAACTATAACTGGTCTTGAGAAAAATGCATCATCTCTTCCAGTAAGGTTTCTGACAGGTGTACATATGTTGAAGCATGTGCACACAGCAGTGCCGTTGAGACGGTCAGGTGGTCGAGTCTCAGTAATCTTTAATCCCTAATCCTCTAGTCTCCTTACTATTGCGTAACAGGTAAACAAAAATAGAGAAGTTTCAGCCCAGCGTAGAACACGTAGGTGTTTTCTGAGAAGCAAGAACTTCTCATACGACTGTAGTTTTTGTCTGTGGTTTTTTTGTCATGCGTTATTACACTACCCGTCAAAAGTTTGGAAGATTTTAATGTTTTTGAAAAGTCTCTTATGCTCACCATGCTGCATTTAATTGATCAGAAATACAGTAAAATCAGTAATATTGTGAAATATTATTACAATTTAAAATACCTGTTTTCTGTTTGAATATATTTTAAAATGTAATTTATTTCTGTGATGCAAAGCTGAATTTTCAGCATCATTACTCCGAGCTGTGTCACATGATCCTTCAGAAATCCTTCAGATGGTGTACATTTAAAACCCATAATGAGAGATCTGAGGCACAGATTAGGTTGGTTTGGTGTCAGACGTTTCTTTATTTGCCATTTCTGTTTTCAGATAAGGGTGAAATGTCCTGTCTGGATGAGGTGCCCTTTAAGATCCCTCTTGGCTTTCTTGAGAATGCTAAAGAAGAGGTTGAGCTCATCACAGCTCCAGAAATCACTCTGCCCGACTACCTGAAGATACTGCAGGAAACTGAGGTCTGATACTCTCTAAAATGCATGGTTTTGACCTGACGTTATCTGTTGGCATCAAAATGCATTTGGACACTTAACACGCACTTTTCACATCGTGAAACAATTGCAAGTATTCTTTTCCTGAGCCATTTTGGGATTTACTTTTAACTAGCTGGTGCCACGGTGAATTTTAGTGGATGAATGAAGTCAGTTCTTCTCAGTTTCACAATGGTGTTTTTCCTAACATTAATGTTCCACTAACATTTGATTGACTTTTTATCTTCTTGGTGAAGAGTGTAATGTTGTCTCAGTAAGAGTTCTTAGGAGAAATAAACTGATACAAAATTAACAATGGCTGATGTGCAGCTGTGTGTATATACTGTAGCCATAAAATGAATTTGGATAGAAGCTCAGATTATTTGTTCTTTGATGAACTGGATGAGTTCCATTTCATCCCATTGCTATTTTATGGGGTAAGATATTGAAACGAAATGAGTAAGATTTTTTTAGATTGATTTATTATTTCATGATTCATTGACATTTATATATATATATTTTTAATGTGGCTTAAGCATCCCTTCACATACAATATAGCTTTGTGGTCAGTGAAAAATGTTTTTGAATGAAGTCTCTTATGCTCACAAAGGATGCATTTATTTGATACAAATACAGTTAAAAACAGTAATATTATGAAAGATTATTGCAATGTAAAATAACTCGATTTTAATATAATTTAAAGTGTGATTTATTCCTTTAATGCAAAGCTGAATTTTCAGCATCATTACTCCAGTCTTTAGTGTCACATGATCCTTCAGAAATCATACAGAAAAATATGCTGATTTGCTGCTCAATACTTTTTAAAAATTATTTTCAATGTTGAAAACACTTGTGCTGCTTAATATTTTTGTCGAAACACATTTTGTTTTTAAATAAAAAGTTCAAAAGAAGAGCACTTGTTTGAAACTGAAATTATTTGTAACCCTTTACTGTCTTTACTGTTACTTTTGACCAATTTGATGCATCCTTGCTGAATGAAAGTATTAATTTCTTTAACAAATAACAAATATTACTGACCCCAAACTTTTGAAAGGTAGTGTACTTTATGCAGCCTCTATCACATAAATATTCAGCGCAGATCAAGAGGGAACTTTGATTTCTGTACTAATACTAAATTACTGAATATGTTTCTGAAATCTTAAAGACCGTTCCTAAGAGAGCATCTGTGACTTCCATAAACTGCATCAGGCTCAATGTAATTTGCCATGAGCATCCACTGATTACAGCAGTTGTTGGCCTTAATGTAATTTTGACTGAGTGTAGGCTGTCACTAACACGGTCATGGGAAAATACGAAGACACTTGCATTGGTGTAAGCGTATCCCTGCCACCTCTAACCCATTCCCATCTGTGATTGCTCTATAATTACACTGACATGTCATCTGTCTAGTACACTGTTTGTTTAGCCCAGATGTGTGCGAACGACATGAGGGCCATGTCAAAAATACAGTACAATTATATCTCGGATTAAAAAAACGAAACAGTAAAGGTGAAAAGAATTCTTGGTTCTCCATAATCAATGGAATATTGTTCATGTAATTGTTACTGTAGATCCATTGGGATAAAATGCCTAAAATTCTTAAGGGTTTGTGTGTTACTGGTCAAGGTATTTGCAAAGAAAACATATTGCTGCCAGGGGTTATTACAATCGAATCGAAATAAGCTAATGTGAACCTTTTATGGCTATGTGTTGAACTTGAGTTTCTGTAAATTCTTAGTCATTTGTCCCACGTCTGTCCAAGAACAACATTGTGTACCTGCCTAGAGCATTGCACGCTTGATTTTGCATTTAGGACTTGAATGGGATGCAAATTGTTGTGTAATATTTGGCTGGTGTGAATGCTTCTCTTTTTCACATCTGTTTTGTGGTGCTCAGTGATTCATAATGCTGATAACGGCAGATGTTAGTAATATTCAGAGGGATTCCCGTAGCAGTAGCTCAGCATACATTTAGATGAAGTGCAACGATGTACACGATGTAACATCATAAGCATTTTTTTTCTGCTATGTAGATTCCACACACAAAAAAAGCAATATCTGTAATGTAAGTAATAGGGTTGCAAGTTAAAAATACATTGTGTTTTTGTAGTCAGAATAGGACTGATATGTTCCCAGTTGGCCTCATTTTGATGTAGACTTGGCGTTTTAAACTGCAAGTTACGAAAGACATGTTTTAGATGTCATCAGATGATTTTTGACATTGATGTTAGCGTGTGAATCTCAAATCTAAAGATGTCACGTTTGTGTTTTGATGTTTCAGTATGTCTTCAGCCTGGAGAACTGGGTTCTCACGGGTCTCCAGGGCGGCTATCCAACCCTCAATCCCCACTCTTCCTGCGAGCTGGCGACCTGTCCTCCATACTGGATGATGTTCAGCAGCCCTCAGGAGAGCAGGTTAGCCAGCCGCTGGAGCAGTGACTTCTGGGAACCCAACCCTCGTCCCCGCAGCCGCAGCTTAAACGTGGCCCACTACCGCACGATGAACGCTCGAGTCAAATTCACCATCTCTGACTCGGAAGATGAAGAGTTTACAGAACAAGATGGCGCCGCTCTTGCTGACAGTGAAGCACAGTCCAAACGGGGTGGTTTGGGTTTGCCAAGACAGGGGCCAGGGTTGAAAGACTTGCACACTTGTGGATCATCAAACTTCCTCAAGCTGCCTTCATCTTGCAGCCTCGCCGCACAGAGCCAGGGGACGTCGTCTTCACACTGCAGGCATAACTCACCCAAAAGAAACTTCCAGAGGAGTCAGAGCTCTGCTGGTCGTACAAATGCATCTCCCACAGTCTCCCCCAACAACTTGCAGTCTGAATGCATTGACAATCCCACCCCAAAGGTAAGACATCATCTTCAACTCTTGCAGTGTACCTCACACTTTGGTTATGAAATGAAGTGCATCAGCAATGCAGTGATGTATTCTTGTAGGCCAACCTGGAAGTTTGCATCACCCTGGTTCTCTTGACAAAAACCCAAAAGGATTTTTCAATTGGTTTTTAGATTGTTGCAGAAAATAAGGTCCATGACCAACGAAAGTTTATGATTACACACATTACACACTTTGTTTATCAAGGTAATCTTCAATCTTTTTTATAATTTTGAAGCCTAAATACTCTTGGCAGAATTTAAAAAGTGTAGGCTGTACCCGTCCCCTCTGGGGACCCAAAAAATAGAGGAATGCTCTTTGTCGGGAATTTGGGTTCCACCGACCAAGGTCACAGAGTGACCGACTGAAGGGGAACTACGTACAGTTACACTACAGTCGCAAGACATTGCCATCAATATACTCTTCAGTCTTTATAAAAATAAAAATAAAACATTTCCCTGAAAGTTTGATTTAGAATAGTTTGCAAGAGCGTGAATAAAAACACACCGAGGCTGTAAAAGTGGACTAGTGAGTAGATGAGTTTTCTTGTTCCGTGTGATGTTTAATGTCCCTGTCAACATATATAGTGCCCTTTGTAACCACCTTTTTCAAGACAAGTAAAAGCTTTCAAAAAAACAAAAAAACAAGAGAGTATTACTGGTGTATTTGGTTACACTTTATTTTGATAGTCCACTTTAGTCATTCTACTAACTATAAGTAACTTTGCAACTACATGTCAACTAATTCTCATTAATTTGCAACTACATCTCTACTAACTCTCGGAGTAGACTGTTAGATTAGGTTTAGGGTTAGTAGAATAAATTGACATATACTTGCAAAGTTTCTCAGTCAGTATGTTGTATGTTGTGGACCCTACAAAATAAAGTGTTAGTAGATATTAAGCAGACAGTCTACTAATACTCTGACTGCTAGTTGACATGTAGTTGCAAAGTTACCTACTGTTAGTAGAATGTTTAACGTGGACTATCAAAATAAAGTGTTACCGTGTATTTTGTTGAAAATGTTAAAATATCTTGAGACTGTGTTCACCACTGACCTCTGTTTCAAGCATTTAACCAAAAACATATTAAAAACCCCATTGATTTTGGGACAATAGAACCGGATGTGCTAAAATTCTAACTCGCTCGTGGGCTTTGGCCTACAAAAACTGGCTTTTTGAAACCTAAAGTTACAAATGGGACACCCTGTGCTCTTGTAGACTTCACAGATGTGCATAAGTTGCACTTACTCCTATTGAGATGCCTCAACATAATTTTGCCATGCAAAGGTAAATGTGACCTTAAACTAAAGGCAATCCAGAGCCTCCAAAAACGTCAAAAAAACAGAATGCAATTTTGTGTCTTTTTACAAAGTGAAGAATTGTCATAGAGACCAAGTGTGACTTTTCAGGTCTCCTGTTTCAGTAATATCTGTCGTTAATACGAAGCAAAATAGTTCAGTCATGAAACTCTAGATGGCGCAGGCGACTGGTTGTTAACGTAACAAATGATATTCAGAGTTAAACGACTTGGCACAGCTGATTGGTTCATGCTGAATATGCAGTCAATGAGCTTACTGCCTTGCATTTATATGGCTGGCTAGCATTCACTAGAGATTCGTGCAGCACACTTTCAGAGTTTCTCTGAAACCCTCCACCTTCCCCAGCTCCACCTGTATAGATCTACTACTGGTTATTTTATATGCTATTTGTGCAGCAGCATTAGTGCTGGGCAGTATACCGGTTCATACCGGATGTTATGTTAATGTTATGTATGTTAATTTTAAAATACCGCAATACCGGTGTATGTCGCTTAAACAACGTTCGGAACGCGACACTGTTTGAAAGGGGTCCCTTTTCACTGTTGCACTGTGGTGAGGGAACAGCTGCATGTGTTACTAAGCGTGAAAGTTCCGAAACTGAAGCTGTAGAACTAATAGAACATGATGACACAGAAGAACTCATCCACAATATTCACATTGACCGCCACAAATATCCACCGCCCCCTGCCATCAGCTCCCGCATCTCACACACACGAGAGCATCTTTAGCACTAGATTTAGCAACTTTCAGACCCTTTTAGCTGCTTTTTTCCATAGAATATTCATACTGACAAACCTAGTGACTTTTTTGGATAAACCTTAGCTATGGTTCAGTTGGAAGATTTCGCCAGTGCTGTCCCGCGAACGTGAGGTCTGACTTTCCCGGAGAAGTGTCACCTCTCTCGGCGTCTGTTCTGTGCAGTGAGCGGCAGAGAAGCAGCGCATTCAGTTGGCCGCACCGCAGCCGACTCGTCAATAAATGAGTACAAAACAGCGCTTCCAAGAACCTGTCGCTTACAGGTAGTAATATAGCCAAAACAACCGCATAGCCGCTCTTTAGTGTAGATGCATGTTGATTTTATCAGACGATGCCGCGATTATAAATGAGAGTGACTCCTGGTTAACATGTATTAAAAGGGTTCGTGTTTAGTCACTATTTAGTGTGGTATTTTTTGACAATATTCACTCATTAAAATAGGGCATTCTAAGTCAATATACTGCAGTATTTCCTCTCTCAATCAGTAGAAAATATGGTTAAAGGGATAGTTCACCCAAAAATGAAAATTCTGTCATCATTTACTCACCCTCATGTCGTTCCAAACCTGTATGAGTTGCTTTCTTATGTTGAACACAAAAGAAGATATTTTGAAGATTGCTGGTAATCAAACAGTTGGTGGTTGCCATTGACTTCCATAGTAGGGGAAAAAATACTATGGAAGTCAATGGTAATCACCAACTGTTTGATTTTTCTCCCTCATGTATGCATACATCCTTCTCAGCATATAGATTTCACTACAAATATGAAGTGCAATGAAGTACAAAGTGCAATGAAACAAAAACAGACACATGGTTCATTTAGATGCCCAAAGGTGTGGTTTAATTTGACTGCAAATGGCAGGTCATTAGTGGCTCTGTAGCAATAAACATTTTAAATAAACGACACTCCTCTTTACTGGACATGTTTGGGTAAGTTTTGATGTACCGAAATTACAGTTTGTACTCTTTGGGGAGTATAAATACAGACAGCCCTGCACAGACAACTCATCTCTTTAATCTATTTACAAAATATTGTGTATGTCTATGGAGAAGACCTTTTCACAGTTGCCAATTCACTGAAGTTTTTAATAGTTCAGAGCTCACAAAAACAGTTGTCCTTAGAAGGCAACCGTTGGCCTTACTATAAATGGCTTTAACTGACAAGTCTCCAGTAAGTCCAGAAAGGTATTTTAATCACTCGAGCAAGAGACATCAGAGTCCTGCCGGTCTTCCAGAAGCATTTAGTCATTTCTCACCACGTTCCAGAAGGATTCATTGTAAATCCTGCACTAATATGTCTCGCTGTGACTGCGAGGTATTTTGTTGTTCCTCAAGAAATGACTGTCTGAGCATCCCATTCAATTCATTCAGATATTAGACATGAATGACTTCTCTGAAGTACTTCTCTCTTTTTTTGGTTTGGTGCACATTTCTGCAATGTCTCAGAAGATGAACTAGCTAATAATAGCGAGTGCTAAGTCTTTTCCTGGAATCCTCCCAAGTTGCAACAAATTCGTCTGGATTAGCGAGTGAAGGTGCTTGGGAAATGTCTTTCTCAGCAAAGCTACGATTCAAGGTTATGCCTTTGTTGACAGTCTAATCCAACACGTCATTAATGCTCATTACATCATCTCTTGCTAGGCTGCCTGATCACAGTGCACTGAATATGGCAAGGGGCTTGTAGTTTTTCATTACAGTTTTTTTCATTTACGGTTACAGAGTTTTTTTAAAACATGAACGGGAAAAGAATTAAATGCATTTTCCAGGAGTTTAATGACCTTTGCTGTTGTTTTATTCCATGTTTGGCTATTTCTTCCAGGGATCACTGTGACTCAAGTGCTGAAACTCTTTGTGAACTTCAGTATTTGAATGGCTATAACAGGGTCACTTAAAATATGGGCATGACCAAATGTACCCAAAACCATATAATTCCTAAACAAAACCTCAAAACTTCACGTAATTTGGTAAACATGTGCAACATGTGATTCTGAGGAAGCATGCAAACTTTTATGTAGATATGGCAATAGGTGGCGCAATAACAGGTTAAAAACAGTGTACAATATTTCTATAGTATTACCTAAAATTGCTTAAAATGGTAGTTTTTATCTCACATTTAGGTGGTTACAGGTTTACTAAATAATATGCATTATATTTTTATGCATGAAAATTCTGTCATCAATTACTCACCTTCAGGTTGTATGGGTTTCTTTAATAATAAGATCATTTGAAGAATGTTGTTGACCGAACAGTTGACGGTAGCATTGACTTCCATAGTATGGAAAAATACACAATGGAAGTCAATGGCTAAATAATGACAGAATTTTCATTTTTGGGTGAACTTTAAGGCACATGGATCTCTGTGATGTATTTTTAAGTTTATCTTTCTGTAGCTCAGCTGGTAGAAAATGCCATTCTTAACACCAAGGTCATGGGTTTGATTCCCAAGAAATGCACATACTGATAAAATGAGCATCTTGAACACGCATCGATGCAAATGTTTTCAGAACATATTTAAAATGTTGTTTTTAAGTGTGAATCAAACCTTGCATCAACATTAGTGTATTTATCATTCTCGATTTTCTCAGTATTGTGTTTCCTGCCCTCATCTCTCAAGAGTACTGTGACCATGAGGCACTGTTGTTGTTTTTTCCAGGCCCAGGGTTCATCCTACCCCCCGGCCCCATCACGGCCACTCAATTCCCACGCTGGCGTCCTGGACTCTTCGGTCGAGCTGCTCTCCGCTCTCAGCCCAGAGGAGAGGGAGCTGCTGGCGGCGGTGACCGAGCGGGGCTACCCTCTCCGTGCGGCCTTCATCGCCCTCCAGAAAACTGGCCAGCAGAGTCCAGAGCAGGTCAGTGAGGGAGATCTGTTACCGGAATTCAGTCTGAAATAAGAGATGGGATTCATTTGCGGTTCGAGATGTAATACTGAGATTCTCTGCACCGTCCTTGGTGTATCGCTGGGGAAGGTCAATCAAAGTGCATGCTGGTGCATACCAGTATAGTTCAGTTGTGAGTGTGTTTATGAACATGCACTATTAATGCTTGACCACATTTATGTTTCTCATAATCATAAAAACCTTTAGACTAAGTTTGAAATGCTAATCTTTTAATTTCACTGATAATAAAAATGAAATGAATTGAATTGTTCATCGAAATAAATCTGAAATAAAATTTAAGTAATAGATAAAAAAATACTAAACTTAAAATACGTAAAAGAAAATTAGAAATTCTGCTTTGGCAACTAACTAAAAATCAATTGAAGTTGATACTAACAAACAAGAACAAGTTCTAATACAAAATGTTAATAAATACTATAATATTATATAAATAATATTCTCAATATTAATTATATAATTTTATTATATTTATTAACAATTTATATAACAAATAATATTACATATTAAATAAAAATGGTCATACTTTCATTTGTGTTATTTCATTTGATGACTTAAAAAAAGTATTTCCAATACTAAAGCAAATATTTTTGTGTTACTCATATCTGCAGCTTTTAGAGACTGATATTTTTTCTCTAAGTTCAGTACACTGTATACAATTTTATGATCTGTAAGTCATGACAACTTGTGTTTTTACATTCATTTAACTCATCAAAATAGGTTATGAGTTATATGAGTTATTTAATATTCAACCCAATTTTTTACATTTTCAGTTTAAATGACTTATGCAACCAAGTTGATTACACTTACAAATTTAAGGCAGCAACTGAATTTTACATTTGAAGTTGAAATCTGTTGTTACATCTGGTTCCATCCTCTTTTATCTGCTTTATTCTGTGTATGATGAGAAAAAAAACAAACAACAAAAATAGATACCAGATCCCCCTGAAGTTTCCAAAATGAGCTAGTATTTAGTTCTCAGCATTACAAAGCTTGAGTCATGAAGCCATACTCATTGGCAAATATCATTAATGTTGTTGGGCATTGTGGAAAAAATGACACTGAAGTTTATTTAAAAGGGATTATGAGAAAAAGACTATCAGTAAATCAGCATTTGAGGGCAGTGGAGCTGAATACAGCCAGAGAAGTCTGCTGAAGAAAACTTAGAAGATGCTCTGCTTCTGTCTAAAATCATATAATGTGGATAGCTTGATTTGCGATACTGATAAAAGAATTGTACGTCCACATCACATTTAGTCTAATAAGATACCTTAATTCATTTTTGACTGCCGATATCACATGCAGGGTTATTATATAGGTAAATAAAAACAAAACCATGAAAAAACCCCCCCTGAAATATGAAAACTTTTCTCTTCGTTTGGAAGTATGAAAGTGCACAATAAACTTAAAGGGTTAGTTCACCCAAAAATGAAAGTTAGGCTGCATTTTACTCACCCCCGAGGCATCCTAGGTGTATATGACTTTCTTCTTTCAGACGAATCCAGTCGGAGTTATATAAAAAATAGTCTTTGATCTTTCAAGCTGTTTAATGCCACTCAGCGGGTGTTGCATTGCTTCAGTCCAAAAGAACTTAAATAAAAATTAAGGGGACGGGGGAGGGGGGGCGTGGCAAAGGCCTTCTGTAGCGAATCGATGCGTTTTAATTAAAAAAAAAATTCCACATTCAAAACGTAATAATCACTTTAATGTAGCTTGCGCCAACAGTTGTACACTGAAGCAGTTCCGGGAGCATGACGTATGAGTTCAGTGTTGCGCATGCGCCAGTGAGTCTCGTGAAAACCTACGTTTGTTATCAGGAGCAAAGGAAGCAAAGTTTCCTTACTTTAGCAAAGGAAAACCAGTCTCCTCTTGGCTTATATCGCAATCCTCCGACATTCTTCTTTACAAATCCTCGTTTTGTACTTCTAATAAGTGACCATTGTTTTGTTTTGATCTCTCCCTTGTGCTTCCGGGTTCATCACATCTGAGCAGCGCATGCGCAAAGCCGACCTCATACGTCATTCCCCCGGAACTGCGTCTGTTTACAACAGTGTGAGCGCAAGCTAGATTCAAGTGATTATTACGTTTTGAATATGGATATTTTTCTTACAAAAACGCATCAATTCGCTACAGGAGGCCTTTGTTCACCCCCCGGAGCCATGTGAGACACTTTTTTTATGGATGGCCAAATTTTATTTAACTTCTTTTGGACTGAAGCAATGCAACACCCACTGAGTGGCACTAAACAGCTTGAAAGATCAAAGACAAATTTTTATATAACTCCAACTGGATTCGTCTGAAAGAAGAAAGTCATATACACCTTGGGGTGAGTAAAACGCAGCATAATTTTCATTTTTGGGTGAACTAACCCTTTAAGTACTAAATAAACCAAGAAATACAATTATAAACTAATAAAAAATAATCAAATCTGTGACATTTTAAAAAACAAATTACAAAAACACTCAACAAAAGTAAAAACAAAAACAAAAAACGAACTAAATTTAAAGTGGAAACAGAAAATCCTAATTCAAAATATTAACAAAATTGTAAAAGAATATCAATGATAATAAAATATCTCTCAATCTTGTGTGTGGTTTGGCGGCTGGTAGAAAGAATGATGTCTTATTAATTAATTTTTAAATATATAATAAATTAAATACTTGTTTGTAACTAATATGTTTATTAAATGAATAATAATAATAATTATTATTATTATTGCTGTTGTTATTTTTTAAAGCAATGTAAATTATTGCATTATTATTGTTATTATTATTAACTTCAATTAGTTTATAATTAATAATAATAATAACCACAAAAATAATATAAATTTTTTATTTAATAATAAATGCCACTTTTCTCATCTTATGAGTGCATTTCTACCAATAATGAAGCATCGTAGTCATTAGGAATTACTTGAATTTGTTCTAGATCATTGGATTCCTTGAAAGCCCTTGGAGCGATGTGACGATGTGTCTGTGAAGTCACTGACTGACCAGCGAAATCTGATTCATTTATATTCAGCTGTATGACATCAGACAGCTGCTTGGGACGGATGATCAGATTTGAATCAACAAAGCTCATCTTGTTACACAGATTAATCAGACCAGCCGCTCCTCTCTCTTATCCACTGCTTGGCTTTCAGTCCACTCTGAGCCTGACATCCAGTCTTATCATGAATTATGATAGCTCACATTCATCTAATGATCTTTCAGAAGTCCACAGCTATGATGACGTACTGTTGCGTCAACAGTGTGCTTGATAACCGGATCAGTTGATCTAATCACTTAGTGTTAGCGGATAAACCAGTGTTCCCCAAAAGTCCATTAGAACTCGACCTTGCCTTGTTTTCATGAAGCGTTCGAGAATCTCAGAGGGCTTTTCTTCAGTCACGTTCCTGCAGTTAAAGTGATCCATGTTGTATTGTGTTTGTGTTCATGTACAGTATGAAGGATTGTTTATTTGTTCTCTTGCAGATCTTGAGTTATATGGTGGCGTGTGATCGGTTATGTGAACTCGGCTATGATGAAGCTCAGGTTGAAGAAGCACTTGAGATGTTTCAGAACTGTGAGACCAAGGTATGTATGTACAGTGGTGTGAAAAAGTGTTGGCCCCCTTCCCGGCTGCCACCAGAGGGAACCCCAGATCTAGGCAGTGGCACGGGCACTCCGCCCCTTTGCAGGTAACGGAGTCTGGTCCGCAACTCCGAGATGGTCATACCCCCGCCATGGGAGCATGAGCCATCCACGAAAGCCACCTCAGCGTGCTTCATGCCCAGGCACGAGAGGCAGCGATCGTGACCATCACCCAGCGCCAGGTAACGACCGCATCCAGAACGCCCGGGTGATACGTTGTCTATAGCAAGACCCACATCGTCTTTATAAAGACGTAACGTCAAGTTTGCCAAGCAACATCGTCTTTAAAAAGACGCACCCGAAATTGCTCTTTTAGGGGAAAAAGCTCATTTAGCGTGCTGAGGCGCACAGGGGAGATGATCATTTGCAACACAATCAGGGGGTAGTGCAGCCTGATGTGTGCAACCCACTCGACACGGGAAACCACCACCGCTGAAGCGCCGTCCGCCAACATGAAGAGCTCTCCAAGAGCGTGCTGAACTCGTTCAGTCTTCTCTCTGTAGAGTAGTCAGGAGCGGAACGATGTGATCGCTTGGCTCCGAAGCGAAAAGCTGAATATGCGCTGCACCTGCTGCCTACTTATACTCACGCTGTGATCAGCAGCAGCTGGATGCAATAATCGCATGCCAATGTGCATTGGCTCGTTTAGTTTACACTCGAAGTAGATTGGTCCCTCTAAGCGAGATCCCAATTTCGTCGGTCCTCCGACGTGACGTCGAGAGTGACCGACTGGAAGGGAACTGTTTTCTGTTTGAACATAGTTAAACATATTTGTTGTGATGCAAAGCTGAATTTTATCATCATTACTCCAGTCTTCAGTGTCACATGATCCTTCAGAAATCATTCTAATATGCTGATTTGCTGCTCAAGAAACATTTCTGATTATTATCAATGTTGAAAACAGTTGTGCTGCTTCATATTTTTAAGAAAACGTTGATAATTCTTTGTTAAATAGAAAGTTGAAAAGAACAGCATTTATTTGAAATAGAACCTTTTGTATCATTAAATGTTTTTATTGTTACTTGTCATCAATTCAGTGCATCCTTGCTGAATAAAAAGTATTGATAATACTATTTTTACCAACCACAACCCTTTGAATGTTAGTGTAAATTGTAACCTTATTTGTTCTTCTATTTTAGGCTGAGGAGTTCCTTCACCTTCTTGCTCAGTTTCATGAAATGGGCTTCCAGCAGAACGTCATTAAAGAGGTTCTTCTGGTGCATGAGAACCACAGAGAGCGAGCGCTGGAGGAGCTCATGACCCGCGTGGCCTGATCCCATGCGTGTTATGATGCAGTGAATTAGCTGCGATCATGGTTTGTGTGTTCACCGAGCTCGTATAGCTGTTGCTTGTTTATCATATGCTGCTCTGTGTTTATCCGTTGTGCATTCTAGACGTGTTGAGGCCTTGGGGAAAAGCAAAATTTGACAGTTGACACAACACGCTTTTATAGTGTTTTCCGTAGCAATCAAACTTTTGTGGCTTTATTTATTGAAATGTAAACCATTTATTATGTTAATTTTCTTCTTGGAATTCATACAATTATTCAACTTTTTAAAATGCATTATAATTGTTAAGCCATATATATATATATGGACACTTTAACATCATATTCATCTTTCCAGTTTCTATATGGTGCCTCCATTTACTTACAACTGAAAAACCCAAGGTGAGACAGTGTAATCTGCACTATTTCTGGTTTGTATTTATCTAAATGTTTTTGTCAGCCGAACCTTTGACATAATAAATATATATACAGGTGCATCTCAATAAATTAGAATGTCATGGAAAAGTTAATTTATTTCAGTAATTCAACTGAAATTGTGAAACTCGTGTATTAAATAAATTCAATGCACACAGACTGAAGTAGTTTAAGTCTTTGGTTCTTTTAATTGTGATGATTTTGGCTCACATTTAACAAAAACCCACCAATTCACTATCTCAACAAATTAGAATACTTCATAAGACCAATAAAAAAAATAGTTTATTAAATTGTTGGCCTTCTGGAAAGTATGTTAATTTACTGTACATGTACTCAACTTTTGCTTTAATTACTGCCTTAATTCGGCATGGCATGGAGGTGATCAGTTTGTGGCACTGCTGAGGTGGTATGGAAGCCCAGGTTTCTTTGATAGTGGCCTTCAGCTCATCTGCATTTTTGGTCTCTTGTTTGTCATTTTCCTCTTGACAATACCCCATAGAGAATTCAGGTCTGGTGAGTTTGCTGGCCAGTCAAGCACACCAACACCAGGGTAATTTAACCAACTTTTGGTGCTTTTGGCAGTGTGAAGGAAGCATGAAGTGCTCCAAAATTTCTTGGTAAACGGGTGCAGTGACGTTGGTTTTCAAAAAACACAATGGACCAACACCAGCAGATGACATTGCACCCCAAATCATCACAGACGGTGGAAACTTAACACTGGACTTCAAACAACTTGGGCTATGAGCTTCTCCACCCATCCTCCAGACTCTAGGACCTTGGTTTCCAAATGAAATACAAAACTTGCTCTCATCTGAAAAGAGGACTTTGGACCACTGGGCAACAGTCCAGTTCTTCTTCTCCTTAGCCCAGGTAAGACGCCTCTGATGTTGTATGTGGTTCAGGAGTGGCTTAACAAGAGGAATACGACAACTGAAGCCAAATTCCTTGACACGTCTGTGTGTGGTGGCTCTTGATGCCTTGACCCCAGCCTCAGTCCATTCCTCGTGAAGTTCACTCAAATTCTTGAATCGATTTTGCTTGACAATCCTCATAAGGCTGCAGTTCTCTCGGTTGGTTGTGCATCTTTATCTTCCACACTTTTTCCTTCCACTCAACTTTCTGTTAACATGCTTGGATACAGCACTCTGTGAACAGCCAGCTTCTTTGGCAATGAATGTTTGTGGCTTACCCTCCTTGTGAAGGGTGTCAATGATTGTCTTCTGGACAACTGTCAGATCAGCAGTCTTCCCCATGATTGTGTAGCCTAGTGAACCAAACTGAGAGACCATACTTTTTCCTTTCACTCAACTTTCTGTTAACATGCTTGGATACAGCACTCTGTGAATAGCCAGCTTCTTTGGCAATGAATGTTTGTGGCTTACCCTCCTTGTGAAGGGTGACAATGATTGTCTTCTGGACAACTGTCAGATCAGCAGTCTTCCCCATGATTGTGTAGCCTAGTGAACCAAACTGAGAGACCATTTTGAAGGCTCAGGAAACCTTTGCAGGTGTTTTGAGTTGATTAGCTGATTGGCATGTCACCATATTCTAATTTATTGAGATAGTGAATTGGTGGGTTTTTGTTAAATGTGAGCCAAAATCATCACAATTAAAAGAAGCAAAGACTTAAACTACTTCAGTCTGTGTGCATTGAATTTATTTAATACACGAGTTTCACAATTTGAGTTGAATTACTGAAATAAATGAACTTTTCCACGACATTCTAATTTATTGAGATGCACCTGTATATATATATATATATATTCTTGAATTACCCCTTAAGTTAATATATCAATAATTTAACAACACATTTGCATGTTTATGGTGCTCTGATGTTAGTTAATGGTCAAATGACATGAAGGAAAACAAATAAAATATTTTATCATTTTGTGTTTTATTTGGGTTGTTTTTATTTTGTAATCAAACAATATATTGTAATTATTTTGGAATATATTGCAATTGTTACTGCGATATGATAAACATTTCATCTCATAAGAAAATGTCTCATGCTACTGCTAAAACATTCAGGCAAAAAGAACCATTGTTTTTATATTATTATTATTTTAACTAATTATATATATATTTTAAATCTGACAAAAATATAAAAGTAAACAGAACAAATATACAATTTCAGTGATAAAAAAAGCTATTTGTTTTTATTATTATTATTATTTTAGGACAGAAGTATATTATTGTAATATTACAATTGCACTTGAAAATAAACTGAATATTTGATCATTACTTGAAAGGATTTTGTGACAATGATACATTTGAATTACATTTTTAATTATTACAATTCATTTTGTAATTTTTAATTACAATGCTAATTTACAATTTTAAATTAGAAAAGGAAATTATGCAAATGAGATTGAACTAATTTTAATTTAATAATTGAGCTAAGCCATTCATCGCAATTTCAGTTTTGTTTCGATTGCAGCCTTATTCATTTTCTTCAATTCATTATTAGCTTTTCATCAACTCACAAACCCTCACCGACCCTGATGTAATGTATAGAAATATTATGTGTCAGAAAATACAGATGTAATAAATGATTTACTTACAAATGGTTCAGTTTGTTGCAGAGCTCCAGCAATGGCATTGGGAACCTACCTAAAAAATATTTGCATTTGGGTGATGCATTTGCACAGATGACCACTGTAAACAAAAAAATTACTATTCAATATGAAATGTCAGTCAAATATTTGGAAGAAAACCCATATCTAAACAATAATACCCATGTCTCATGGTTCTCGTTTCAGAAAAATAACTGGTATTTGTGAAATCTGTGTGAGGTCAACACATGCTTTCATTTGTCAGTTTCACTTTGGTATTTCTGAACATTATTATATGGCAAAGTTCCTATAAAACGTTACCTTCAATGTTAAACAACTGCCAGACATCATGAGCGAATAGCAAAGTCCTGCCAAGATCTATAGATTCTGTTGTTAGGCTGCCCGAGGTTGGACACAATGTTTTCATTGTGGTAACATGATTAGTTATCAGTGTGTCTTCAGGTTCCCATGTAATGAGAGGACCTTCTACAATAGTTACGAAAGCTTGCAGGAATGTCTGGATATGATTTGAGTGTTTGAACAGTCAACGAGTCGTCACACTGTTACACTCTTACCACTTTTATGAGGTCATAAATGATTGTATGAATAAAGTATCATTTCTGATGATCATGTTTCTCCTCCCAGCTGATCTTAAACTTTCTCTCACAGTCTTCAAGGTTCTGTGCTCTTTCCTTGTGGCCTTATCTGACCCCGGCGCTTCTGGTATGGGTACACTAGGGATTGAGTTTTACAGATGGCGTGTTTGATATAAAAACAGGAAATGTTTCTATATTTTGGTCTCATTTGGCCATGGCAACATATACTGTAATGACCATCAATCATGTGCAATACAGTCGGGAAGATTTATAGGGCCTGTTCGTTTTCCATTAATCACATCTTACACTTGCCTCCAACGGATCTGTGATGTTCTGGCAGTGTGTGAATGGTTAAATGTTAATCAGATTTAACACAAAATAAGCTGCGGTTAACTAATCAAATGGACCGATTAGAGAAAGGAAAGAGAGGCTTGAAATTTTGCACTAGTTGAACAAAGAACAATGTAGGTTTGAATAATATTGCATAAAGAATTACTGATAGCCATCTTTTATTTCCAAATATGTGAATTACCTCTCAAAAGTTTGGGGTCAGTATGAGGTTTTGCATTAAATTGATCAAAAGTAACATTTAAAAAGTGACATTTATCTTTTTCAAATAAATGCTATTCTTTTTAACTTTCTATTCATCAAAGAATCCTGAACAAAAGAATAATGGTTTCCACAAAAATATTAAGCAGCACAACTGTATTTAACATTAATAATATATAATTCTTGCCCAGAAAATCAGCATATTAGAATGTTTCCTGAAGGATCGTATGACACTGAAGACTGAAGTAATGATGCTGAAAATTAATTACATTTTAAAACATATTCAAATAGAAAACAGCTATTTTGAATTGTAATAATATTTTACAATATTATGTTTTTTTATTGTATTTTTGATCAAATAAATTCAGTCTTAATGAGCATAGGAGACTTCTTTGAGACTTTTGAACAGTATAATTGTGCATAGTAAAAAAAAAAATAGCCTACTGAAAAGTAAATTAATTAGAATTTTTTATTCATTTGATATCCAGTACAGGTGTAAATGTTTATAAATTGGGACTGCAAATTATCCTCATTACATGAGGATAATTCCTCTCTGAAATATTATTTCAAGAAGGTTATGAGCTTTTTTTTTTTACTTTTGAGCAGGATGAAATTGGTTGTGACAGGTCCTACACATCTACAAGCAGCCACTTACCTCATTTTTTTGTTGTTGAGGTAATAATACAAAAAATGCAACCTTTCTCTTTTGCTGCCAATTAAAATATTTGAGACACTAATGTCAAATTAGGTGAAATTCTAGGAATCCGTTGTTACGTAACATTTACCGCTATTATTAATAAACTCAGTCAACACAATGTACAGAAGCACTTGAGCTGAGGCCAGAGGAGATCTCGACTCCATTATCTTTCTTTTGTAAAAGAATTCTGCTTTGCTTTGGCAGTCTCAAGAGGAACGTCCACATGGAGCCGATTTTTGATAATCCAGTCATTTGCTTTTTTCGTCATCCATTTATTTTCCTCTATGCCGTATTCCACCGTCGCTCTGCGGTTCACTGTGAACACAAAGTCGGCTCACACTACTGCGGTAAACAAAGGCCCCTTACTGTTCTCGTACTGCCCGGGCATGGTCGTCCACTGACCTGAGGTCAGATTGTAACAATTACATTTACATCTACATTTAGTCATTTAGCAGATGCTTTTATCAAAAGTGCCTTTCAAATGAGGACAATGGTAGCAATCAAAATCAACAAAAGAGCACTGATAAGCAAGTGCTATAACAAGTCTCAGTCAGCTTAATGCTGTCACACCCCTGTGGACTGTCGATTATGGTTTCTCCCTCTGTGTCCTTATTTGGTTGTTCCTGTTCCCATTATTAGTTAATCATCTCATTGTGTTCACCTGT